ATCTGAAAAGATTTTTATTTAAGCGGTGCAACTGTGTTTATTCAGGATTGTATGGGTTAGAGGTTATCTTTTTAAATTTATTTTCAATTTTTTAATATTTCTTTAGCATAGGCTTTTCTCACATCAGCTAATTATGTTCACACTTGAGTGAATTATGGTTAAAAATGAAGACCTATTATCATTTTGTATGCCATATTTAACTTTGTAAAACTGTCCCAATAAAGACACTATAGGACAGAACTTCAAATATGAATCAGAAGGATGTGTTGCCAACAAAATTTTGTATACATTTGTATGGTTGTATAAATTTTACTTTTTTATAACATATATATTTCTTTTCTAGGCTAGTGGTTGTCAGTTTTATCTTGTCTAAATGGCTATTCATGAAAATTGGCTTAATTTTATCATGTACTTATCAGTGAATCTATATCATCTTTATGTGAGTGAAACACTTTCATGATTAGAGATAAATTTTGAAAAGCCTTATTATTCTGTATGGTCTTTTAGGTATTTTATTTTATTTTTAATTGTGGTCAAAACATGTAAGAAAATTCACCATCTGAAATATTTTTAAGTATACTAGTTCAATCCTGTTAAGTATATTCACTTTATAATGCTGTATATTGGTTAAATATTTTCATCTTGCAAAAAAAAAACAAAACTCATACCCATGAAATCCCACCTATTCATTTCTCCCTCTACCTAGATCCTGAAGAGCTTATTGTATTTTCTGTTTCAAGGAGCTTAGTGACTTTAGACATATAAATAGAATTATGGGGTATGTGCCTCTTGTCACTAGCATATTTCACATAGAATAATGCCCTCCAGATTTATTCTGATTGCAGTTGCTACACAATTTTGTTCTTTTTAAAGGTTGAATAATATTCCATTGTTTGTATATTCAGAATTGTTTTGTTTAATGAAAGGTGTTTGAGTTTTTTCCAGCTGGAAAAAAGGTGTTTGAGTTTTTTCCAGTTAGTTTTTGTGAATAATGTGGTAAATACAGGTGTGTGAAAAACTCTTGAATGAAAATGTAAGGATTTATTTCTGTATTGTCTGTTTCTTTTAGTGTATCCATCTGCCTTTATGACAGCACCAAACTGTTTTGTTTACTGTAACTTTGTAACTGGTTTTTGAAATCATAAAGTCATTTCACTAAATTTTGTTGTTGTTGAGATCTTTTGGCTATTTGTGGACCCTAGAGATTGATATAATTTTGGCGTTGCTTTTTCTTTATCTCTCTCTCCAAAAATGACATGAGCAGTTAGGCAAGGATTAAGGTAAATCTCTAGATCACTTAGGTTTGTATAAATATGCTCACAATATTGTCTTCCAACCTTTTTATAAGAGCATGTACAAGAGTATATTGTATAATTTCCACCTATTCATAGATTTCCTGGTTTTCATTCTACTATTGATTTATAGTTTTATTCCATTCAGGTCAGAAAAGATAGTTTGTAAGATTGTAGTCTTTTCTTCTTCTTTTTATTTATTTTTGAGTTGGCTTTCTCACCCTGTCACTCAGGCTGGAGTGCAGTGGCACGCTCATAGCCACCACCTGCTTGACCTGCTGGATGATCCTTCAACCTCAGCCTTCCAAGTAAATGGAACTGCAGGCATGCGCCACCATGCCCAGCTAATTTCTTGATTTATTGTAGAGATGAGGTCTCATCAAGTTGCCCAGTCAAACCCATGGGCTTAGGCAATCTTCTCACCTTGGCCTCCCAAAGTGCTGGGATTATAGGCTTGAGGTACCCACCACACCTGGCCAAGATTGCAGTCTTTTAAAATTTAAGTCGTGTGTGTGGCCTAACAGGTTATTTATCCAGAAGAGTGGTACATGAACTATTGAGAAGACTATATTTTGCAGTTGTATGGACTGTTCTCTACACATATGTTTATTAGGAATCTATGATTTCTGGACTTATTCAAAGCCTCTATTTGCTCATTAATATTTTGTCTGGACTTATTATTCATTACTAAAAGCAGGACATTGAAGTTTCTAGCCATTATGGTGTTGCGATTTTCATCAATTATTTTATCATTTACTGCATATATTTGGGAACCTTGATAGCAGATAGCCTTATTTAGAATGTCCTTTTTTGTCTGCTGTGTCAGCTTTTTTTCTCGAAGTATATTTTATCTATCAGGTAGTTTTTAACTTAAAGTGAGGTTTGCCTAATGACCACCCAGCTCTTATCTGGTAACCATTTTCTGGAATATCTTTGTCATCCTGTTACTTTTAGTCAGTTTGCATCCTTAGTTTTAAATTGATGGTCTTGTAAACAGTGCAGGTTTAAATTGACAGTCTTGTAAACAGTGCAAGTTGACTGTTACTTTTTAGTGCCTTTAACCAAAATGTTTTGATTAGGAAGTTTACTTTGTATGTAATTAAATAAATTTATGAAAGGGAGAAGCTTACTATTTTGGTAATAATTTTTCTTGTGCTTTATTTTTCTTGTAGCTATTTTGTCCATCTTTTTTCTCATACTGTCATACTGCCTTCCTTGTGTTTTTATTGTTATTGTTATTATTATTTTGAGTTGGAGTCTCACTCTGTCGCCCAGGTTGGAGGGCCCAGGTTGTCAGTCACCACAGCCTTGAACTGCTAAGCTCATTTGATCCTTCCGCCTCAGCCTTCCAAATAGCCAGTACTATAGGCGCATGCTACCATGCTCCACTTACTTTTTGATTTATTGTGGGGACGAGGTCTGTCATGTTGCTCAGGCTGGTCTCAAATCCCTGAGACAGACAATCCTCTTGCCTCTGCCTCCCAAAGTGCTAGGATTACAGGAGTGAGCCACTGCCCATGGCCCTTTTTATTAATCTTTATTCTGGCATACTTTGTTCCTTTCTCATTTTCCATTGTGTATCTGTATAGCTATTTTCTTTCTTTTTCTTTTTCTGTTTTTTTTTTTAGTCAGAGTCTCACTCTGTTGCCCAGGCTGGAGTGCAGTGGCACATTCAGGGCTACCACAGTCTGTGTGAGCCACCGTGCCTGGCCTGTGATGCTTTTTAGAATCAGTTTAGTATTCAATGAAAAGAACTTCCCTTAATATTTATTGTATGGGATGTCTAGGAATTAACTTTTTTGCTTTTGTTTATCATGAAAAGTCTTTTAATTTTGAAGACTGTTTGCTAAATCTAATATTTTCGGTTGTTTTTTTTTTAGCAAGTTTTCTGTATAACTCAAATCCCATATGATCTGCAAGGTGTCAGTACTGAGAACTCCACTGACCTTCACATTGGAACACCCTTATAGATGATCCTTGAATTTTATCTTGCTTTTGTTAAGTATCTCTTCTTGTCTGTGACTTTCAAATCTTAGGGTTTTGTTTTTTTTTGGTCAGAATCTCACTCTTTTACCCAGCCTGTAATGCAGTGGCATGATTATACCTACTACAGTTTTGACCTTCTGGGCTCTTGAGATCCTTCTGCCTCAGCCTTCAATGTAGCTGGTATTACAGACATACACTGCTATGTCCAGCTAATTTTTTGATTTATTGTAAAGATGAATCTTACATTATTGTCCAGCCTGGTCTCAAACTCCTAGTTCAGGCAATCTTCTCTCCTCTTCCTCCCAACATACTGGGATTACAAGAATGAACCACCAGACCCAACCCTAAATTATGATAATAGCATATCTGACTATAAGTGTTTATGTTTATTCTAGTTTGAGTTTGTTGAACTTGATTTTTCTCTTTTTCTTCATTACATTTTGGAATTTCTCAGATTTTTTTTGTATTCTTTAGCTCCAGACATTCTATATTTTTAAGTTTTCTTGTCTGTTGATATTATTCTATTGCTGGTTTTATTTGGTTGTCTGCATTCCCGTTTAACTTATTAAGCATTATTAAGGTAGTTATTTTGATTTGTTGCCAGGGAATATATACGTCTCTAATTCTTTAAGATTTATTTTTCTGTATTTGTTTTTGTTTTGAGTCGGAGTCTTGCTTTGTTGCCCAGTCTAGACAGCAGTGGGATGCTGCTCATGTCCATCGCAGTCTTGACCTGCTGGCCTTGGGCAATACTTCCACCTCAACCTTCCAAGTAGCTGGAACTGCAGGTGTGCACCACCACACCCAGCTACTTTTTGGTTTATTGTAGAGAAGAGATCTCATAATATTGCTCAGGCTTGGTCTCGAACCCACAGGCTCAGGCAGTCCTCTCACCTCTGCCTCCCAGAGTGGTGGGATTACAGGCATGATCCACTGAGCCCAGTTCAGGTTGATTTTTGAAAGTTTTTGTTGTTATTTTACAATTAAGTCCTCTTTCTCTGATTCTTCATATGCTTTGTGATACTTTCTTGGCATTTTGTCTTTAAAAAGCTATTTGTCATAATCTTTATGGAGTTGCTTTGTCTAAAGTATGACACTGATCACTATCTTAGAGATTCTAGAAGGAGTATCAAGTCACTTATGATATGTCTTCTCTGGAATTATGCATCTACTCTTCCAGTTAAATAGTTTGACTGTGTTTATTTTCAAGACTTCATAATTACTTGGTGTATCTGTGAAATGTCTATGGTACTGCAGTCTCTCTGGGGCTGTAAGTGCCTGTAGTATCGAGATTCAACCTATCATACAAAGTATATCACATCTTCTTTACTCTGTGAGAAAAGAAAGAAACCAGTCCTTGGGTAAATCACCAGATTCCAGAAGTGCGACTCATAGCGCATTATTTTCTTTCTTCCCTGAGCAAGAAGACATGTATTGGAAGAGTTTATGGTAGTCAAAATGACTAAACTTTCTCTTCTGTATAACTTTTCTTCACAATGTGCTCATCTGGGATTCTCCAGACTCTTACCTGTGTTTTGGAGTTGCTCAAAGAGGCAGTTTGGTCACTGTTATGTAAAGTACATATATTTATAAAAAAGTGAGAACCTGTGATTTTTATTTTGCTTTCTTGCTATTGTTTTGAGCATAGTATAGTTTTTGCTAGATTTATAATATATTTTCACCTGAGTCTAGTAAGTACATGTCTATTTTAATTATTTCCAGTTACAAATTCTCATAACAATGAGGACCTTTTGCCCGCGGAGAACACAGAAGAATCACTCACAAAAGCAACATTGGGAAGATATGGAAGATATGGCTGTAAGAATTTACATTTCGAGATTGATTGGAAAAGTGTGAATGAGGATGAAGGGCAAAAAGGATGTTATTTTGTACATGATCATTACAACTCTAACAAATATGGGAAGGACTTTGATCAGCACTCCAAATTTATTGTCCACCAGAGTATCCATATTCCAGCAATGGCTTGCAAATATAAGGAATACAGCAAAACTTTTAACCAGTCCACAAAATGCACTCAATATCAGAAATTTGTTAAGGGAAATTCACACAGATGTAATATATGTGGGAAAGTGTTTAGTAAATCAGCAAATCTAAAGAGTCATAAAAGAATCCATACTGGAGAGAGACCCTACAAATGTGAAGAATGTCACAAAACCTTTAATTTGTACTCAAGTCTTATTCAACATCAGAGAATCCATACTGGAGAGAAACCCTATAATTGTAAAGAATGTGGGAAAGCCTTTCGTTCTCATTCAGGACTTGCTGGACATAGGAGGATCCATACTGGAGAAAAACCCTACAAATGTGAAGAATGTGGGAAAGCCTTTCGCTCTCATTCAGGACTTGCTGGACATAGGAGGATCCATACTGGAGAGAAACCCTACAAATGTGAAGAATGTGGCAAAGTCTTTCGCTTTCATTCAGAACTTGCTAGACATAGGAGGATCCATAATGGAGAGAAACCCCACAAATGTGAAGACTGTCACAAAACCTTTAATTTGTGCTCAAGTCTTATTCAGCATCAGAGAATCCATACTGGAGAGAAACCCTACAAATGTAAAAAATGTGATAAGGCCTTTAGCTGTCATTCAGTACTTGTTCGACATACAAAGATCCATACTGGAGAGAAACCCTACAAATGTGCTGAATGTGACAAAGCCTTTCGCTCTCATTTAGGACTTACTGGACATAGGAGCATTCATACTGGACAGAAGCCCTACAAATGTAAAGAATGTGAGAAAGACTTTCGCTCGCGTTTAGGACTTGTTGGACACATGAGGATCCATACTGGAGAGAAACCCTATAAATGTGGATGTGGCAAGGCCTTTCGCTGTCATTCAGAACTTGCTAGACATAGGAGGATCCATATTGGCGAGAAACCCCACGAATGTAAAGAGTGTCACAAAACCTTTAATTTGTACTCAAGTCTTATTCTACATCAGAGGACCCATACTGGAGAGAAACCCTACAAATGTAAAATATGTGACAAAGCCTTTAGCTCTCATTCAGTACTTGCTCGACATACAAAAATCCATACTGGAGAGAAACCCTACAAATGTGAAGAATGTCACAAACCCTTTAATCGGTACTCCCATCTTATTCAACATCAGAGAATTCATACTGGAGAGAAACCCTACAAATGTAAAGAGTGTGACAAAGCCTTTCGTGCCCATTCATTACTTGCTCGACATACAAAGATCCATACTGGAGAGAGACCCTACAAATGTGAAGAATGTCACAAAACCTATAATTTCTACTCAAGTCTTATGCAACATCAAAGAATCCATACTGGAGAGAAACCCTACATATGTCAAGAATGTGGCAAAGCATATCGCTCTTATTCAGGACTTTATGGACATAGGACCATCCACACTAGAGAGAAACCCTACAAATGTGCAGAATGTGGCAAAGCCTTTCGCTCTCATTCAGGACTTACTGGACATAGGAGCGTCCATACTGGAGAGAAACCCTATAAATGTAAAGAATGTGGCAAAGTCTTTCGCTCTCATTCAGGACTTTATGGACATAGGAGCATCCATACTGAAGAGAAACCCTACAAATGTAAAGAATGTGGGAAAGCCTTTCGCTCTCATTCAGGACTTTACGGACATAGGAGCATCCATACTGGAGAGAAACCCTACAAATGTAAAGAATGTGGGAAAGCCTTTGCAGATTACTCATATTTCACTGTACATCAAAGAATCCATACTGGAGAGAAACCCTACAACTGTGAAGAATGTGGGAGAGCCTTTCGCTTTCGTTCAGAACTTGCTAGACATAGGAGGATCCATACTGGAGAGAAACCCTACAAATGTGCAGAATGTGGTAAACCCTTTCACTTTCATTCAGGACTTGCTGCACATATGACCACCCATACTGGAGAGAAACCTTACAAATGTAAAGAATGCGGCAAAGCCTTTCGTTTTTATTCAGGACTTGCTGGACATAGGAGGATCCATACAGGAGAGAAACCATACAAGTACGAATAATGTGTCAAAACCTTACACTTCCATTCAGGACTTGCTGGACATAGGCGAATCCATACTGGAGAGAAATCCTACAAATGTGAAGAATGTTCCAAAGTCTTCAATCAGCACTCACATCTTACTCAACACCAGCGAATCCATACTGGAGAGAAGCCCTTCAGATGTAAAGAATGTGGCAGAACCTTTCACTTTTGCTCCAACTTTTCTCAACATCAGAGAATTCATACGTGATAAATTTCTTGTACTTGTAATGACTATAGAAGCACATTTATTAAAATATAAGCCATAGAGCACATATGGAGAAAAGCTTTACAGCTGAAAAATATAGTGCATTACCTTTACTTATGTCATGGATCTTCAGAATGTAGAAATGTAAGGCATATCTAAATCCTTTAACTATGTATAAAACTTTATTTGACATTAGAAAATTTGCATTAGAGAGACCCTCTACACATTTATTGAATGTGGAGTGACTTTTGTTTAAAACATATGCCTTAGATAACACCATGGTGTTCATGCTGAAATCTTTAAAGATGCAATATATGGGAAAACTTAACAGTCACGTTGAAGTAAACATCAGAGGATTCACACTAAAGCACTATGGAACTAACACTTCCAGAGAATACTCTAAATTAGACTGTTGGTTATAGGGAATGAGTCAAAGTCAAAAGAATTAGGTAAGTTTTGTGCTTACATGCTGAGTAGGATGAGTGTTTTTTAAAAGGGGAGTAGGTATATTCTATGTATACTTTTGTTTTTGCATTCACAGAATTTGAGGATGCTTTGAAAAGCAAATATTGATGGAACTCAGCTCTCAAATAACTTGATGATGTGTGGTCAGTTATTGCTGCATTATAGCTACGACAGGCACTTTATATTAGGTGAGCATCCTCTCACCTAATATATTCCATGGGTGATGAAGGACACTGAAATGTAAGATGCATGAGAAGGTCTAAGACGAGAGGAGAAGCTCCTTTTGGCTCATGTTGAGCAGTATTGTAAGTCCTGCATGAGGTGGGTGCTCAGGGTAACATTTTTGAAGACTGTAATTTAACACAAAAAAATTCGTAGGTTTAGAAATCCAGTGTCCTGCCAACTGCATATGAAGAAAAAAATGAGACTAGCCCGTTAATATCCTGATGTATCTTCACAATATGAATGCTTTTGAGTCATAATTGTTGCTTCACGTGGTATAAATAGAGTTCGATTCACAGACATCAGAGAAAGCATAAATGCTCTCTGAAAAGATGTAGATTGTAAATTTATGTTTGGTAAATCTTAGCCTCAGTTTTGAAAACTGAGGAGAGCTGCACTCTCACATATATCAACAGAAATGCTTCCTGAAAGTTTGTAATCTGTTTTTACTAACAAGTATATAAGAATCTTCATTTAGATGATGTGAACTTAATTTTTTTAAAAACATGTTTATAAATGGTTCATAGACTGTTGTGCACAAAATGAAGTGTTTTTATACATTTGTGTTAACCTATTCCATCTTACTCTAGATTGCAGGTCAATGATGGCCATATACTTACTGTTGAGTAATTACGAAATGGTCTCTGGTGAGCTTTTTTCCCATTTGTTATGTTGTATTTATTTTCTTATTGTAGTTATAGACTCATTATGATGACTATAATAAAGATTATACAGGAGTATACTCATATGACATACTTTTCTGAAATCTTATTCTTGTAATAACTCATTTTATATTTTTAGTTATACTTTGCACGTCTCTTGGCCTTCAATAAAGATAGTTACTTATGGTTTTAATTTACATTGAACAAAATATACAAATATGTTACTCTAAATTTTTATGAGTCAGAGGACTAGGGAAGACAAAGTTGTGTTTGTGTGTCAATGTGTTCCTACCTTAAGAAACAAAGGAAATTATTGGAAAAACATCATTTAAAACCTAAAAGCAAGTGTGGTTTTTCTGCTTCACATTGAATTTGTTTCTAAAATCTAATGGCTTCTCGTCATAATCTTTATAAAAATCATGTTTTTTTACTTGCCTGTTATTTATAAAACTCCTAATATAGAATTCACTGTTTCATGTTCAAAAAGTGTTTGTTATTTGTCCTACTTAGAAATTTTAGGGGTATTTATATGTAACATTTAATGATGTTTAGAAAGCACTATGGAGATGAAAATAATTTTCAGTGAAATTGGTTTTATTTACTAGGCCAGTTTGTTCAGGTGAAAACTTAGAAGATTTCATGTCAAGGGGTTTTAAAAACTTTTGTTTGTTTTGACATTTAATCAAACTGAACAAACACAAGATAATCCTTGGTGTGTAATAAAGAATCTGTCATTAGCAAATATTCCTCTTATAGTGAATTTGGGGTTCTAGGTAAGAGGATAAAGATATCTGGAGTCCTTCTCTGCCTGTATATGCCTCAAACTTTCTCACTGGATTCCCTACCCCCGTAACATTCTACACTAGACTTTGTAGGTGCTGATGAAAAACAACAGAAAGAGCAAAACTGGGATAGATAAGAAAATAGGAGAAATTAAAAGAAGGGGATGTAACAGGGCAGTGTCAAGGGAAAGAAAAAGACCATGAAGACACAGGGCAGGAAGGGGCCTCAGGCTTTGTGAGAGGGGATCACATGAGAAAGAGTAAATAAAAAGGAAACAAGAATAAAGTGGAGATTAGAAATAGAGAGCAAGCAGTGAAATAAAGCCAAAAAGGTGCCTAACAGTAAAACAGGAAGGAAAACAAGAGATATCAAAAAGATGGTGAACTGGTTAGAGAAATGCAGAATGGCGGAGAATCAGAGAAGCAAAAAGAGGATGGAGAAAGGTGACAATAACAGTGAAAAAGCCGGGCTCGGTGGCTCAGCCTGTATTCCTGCGCCTTTGGGAGGCTGAGGTGAATGGATTGCCTGAGCCCGCGGGTTCGAGACCCGCCTGGGCAGCGAGACCTTATCTCTACAATAAATCAAAAAATCAGCCAGGCGTGGTTGTGCATGCCTGTAATTCCGGCTACTCGGAAGGCTGAGGCGGAAGGATCACCGGAGCCCAGCAGGTCGAGGCTGCGGTGGCCGGGAGCCGCCACTGCACTCCAGTCTGGGCGACAGAGTGAGACTCCAACTCCAAAAAAAAAAAAAAAAACTACAGTGAAAAAACTACATAGAAAAAAGATATGCAGGGGGAGGGGTGAGAAAATGCAGATATTTTGAGAGAAATACTACAAATGCTGAAACCAACTTGAATGTGCGCGGAGAAAATCTGAAAGGTTGAAAAGAATGAAGACAGAAGTGGAGAAAATGTGGGAAAGTTGTAAAGATGGGCTATGACTAGAGAGGGTGTTGGAGATTTAGGGGAGCATGGAGATAATCCTGTGTACAGGGGAAAGCCTTGTTGCACCTTGGAGACAAGTTGAGAATGGAAAGGGAGGCCAGGCTCGGTGGCTCACCCTATAATCCCAGCACTTTGGGAGGCCGAGACGAGTGAATTGCCCAAGCCTGTGGGTTCGAGACCCCCCCCAGGGCAACTTGGCAAGACCTCATCTCTACAATAAATAAAAAATTAGCCCGGCGTGGTAGCACACACATGCAGTTCCAGCTACTTGGAAGGCTGAGGTGGAAGGATCGCTGAAGCCCAGCAATTCAAGGCTGTGGTAGCCAGGAGCATGCCACTGCACTCCAGTGTGGGTGACAGAGTGAGACTCCAACTCAAAACAAACAAACAAAAAGTTAAGGGAAGCGTCTCTGCTGATCATGTTGCAGTAAAGGTGTGTATAATAAAATCCCAGACTGGGCATGGTAGCGCATGCTTGCCTTCCTATCCCTTTGGGAAGCCAAGGCAGGAGAATAACTTGAAGCCAGGTGTATGAGATCAGCATAAGCAACATAGCAAAACACTATCTTTTGGAAAATAAAATAAAACCCCCTTGAAACAGGTTTCCCTGCGTTATGCACATTGTTTTATTGTTTATTCATTATTACTTAATTACACATGTTGTAGCATGTCTTGTGAGGTATTGTTTGTCTTGTGTATTGAATAAATATGGAGTTTAATTTCTGAGAAGTTGGGGTTATTTTAAAGTTAACTTTTATTGATTTGTAGACTGGTGTTTAATATGTACATAGCAAGTGGCCTTACCTTTAATGATTCAGATGTTGGTCACACAGTCTGGTGTTTCCTTGAGTGTGTTTTGGGTGAGATTAACATTCAAATCAGGGTCTTTAAATATAGAATACTAATGCCCTCCTTCAAGTGGGTTGTCCTCACAAAAGAAGTCCAAGGACTGCATGAAGCAGAGACTTCTCTCTCTGACCAAGAGATACCTCTCCAGTGGACTCATTTTAGACCTAATGTGTGACAGCTAGTCATGAAGGTTCTCAGCAGGCAGACTTGGGACGAGCTGGAACATTAGGTCTCTTGTGTCTCCAACCTGCTTGCCCATTCTGCAGATATTGGACTTGTAAACCTCCATAGTCAACTGAGCCACATCTTTAAATTTATTCATACACAAGTGGCTAGCATTGCATAAATGTCCTAAAAGCTCCCATGTGATCCTGAAGAATGCCTTTAAATCTGTAACCACAGTGCTGAGAGTACTGTAAGTCAAACACATGTCTCATCCTATGACTGACTGAATTACAACAAATATGGATTGCCCACTTTCATAGGATATGTGCTGTTCAAATAAGGATATTCCCTGGAAGAAACAGGATCTTGGAAATTGGGATGGGGATGTGTGAAAGACCGTGTTTATGCTGGGGACATTAAGCACCTACATTTTCTTGGGCCTCACTTCCAGAAGAAGTAGCTTCTCTGTTCAAATCTGAAATTAAATGTGCATGCCTGTAGAAATGATAATAACCTTTGACAGGGAAAATCTGAAAGCTACAAGAATCCTTATACTTGTAAATACAGTTGAAAGAAAAACATGAGAACAGAATGGAACCAAGGGAGCTGCCAGAGAATTAAGCTAAGAATCCAGTGCGCTACCAGATGTTGTATGACTACAGAGCACCAATTCCATGTCGGTGTCTAACTTCACACAGAAAAACAGAACAAAGAAAGTGCAGACATTCCAAGTACGGTGTATCTCCTGTAGGTGAGACCCATTATAAATAATATTGCACATAAGAATGTATGCTTCCAGGATGAGTGTGAAAAAAATTTATGTAACATAAACTTCAAATACAGAAATTACATTTAAATATCAGCCTAGGCAACATAGCAAGACCTCATATATGAAAGTTCAAAAAATTAGCCAGGTGTGGTGGTGTGCACTCGTATTCCCAGGTAGTTGGAAAGTTGGTGTTGGAGGATTATTTCAGCCCAGGAGTTTGAGGCTGCTGTGAGC